GTTGGAAACTTCCATCAACTTTTCACCATGGCTATTCCAAGGTTTTGTCATCCACAGTTATGGTTCCGAATTCTTCTCTAGAAACATTTGTGATCAGCTCTTTTCATGGAGAAGACTCTAGTAAGTATGGATACAAAAATTTATAAAATTAAAGAATACAGTTAGTGAAAAAACATACAAACGTATGTCCTGGTTTTGTTAAATGGTTATCATATTTTTTTCCGACCTGTAACTCACTTTGACGTAATTAAATATGTGCTGTTATGAATGATTGTAGTATCCTTGTAATTGTCCTATGAAGGTGTCATGTTAGGTGCAGGAAAACATCACATTAGGAAAAAAACACCGATCATGCTAATTTAAAAATAGATGTGATTTGAAGCGTGTTTTCCAATAAATATGCAAAAATAAACGCTCGGCCCAGCGCTCATTCCTTACAACTATAACTGTAGACTATTGATCTTCCTAGGAAAGAACCTTCCTAGCCACATGGGATGATAAACGCTGGTCTTATAAATGCAACCAGGCAGTTGATTTATGACCAAAAGTGGGAATTCGTGAGACCAAGTAGCAAACGTAAGAAGCCCTGTGTACTGGCTTTTCTTGCCAGCAAAACTTCACAAAGCCCCAGTGTCTCACATCTCAGCTCTCCAGAGATGGTTTTGAGACAAAACAAGACAGAGCACATGGCCCCTGATGTCTCTTGCCTGAGTCACCACATTCTTTAAAAGATAAACGATGCTAGTCCTTGCCTTTTCCTGCACACAAGATAATGTCTTACAGGGCGAGTGATGACGCCTCCGCGGTCTATAACCAGATGTGCTCCTGCCCCCAAACCTGGATGGGATTCTGCTTCGATGCAGCTTCTGAGCCAGTTTGATGTGATCTGCACGTGCTGACCTCCCACCACCTGCATATGAACTGTGAGCTGAAACAGGGCGCCTCTGACAGAGCTGCCCCGGGCTGGTGTGAGCTGAAACAGGGCGCCGAGCCTCTGACAGAGCTGCCCCTGGGCTAGAAACCTTACTCTTCTATAGTCCTCGGTAAAACTTCTGAGTAAAGCTCACTTTAATTCCTTAAAAGCTTGATTTTTTGTTTATCAACACCGCAAACCTCTTTCCCATCCAGTTGGATGAAGGAGTAGCTATCGATTTAAATTCAGTTTAATATTTTAATTTCTTGACAAGAGTAGGTTGCACATACCAGCTAATAAGCAGAAGGCCTATTTTACCTAAAATGGATCAAACTACAAAATTAGTGATTTGTCCTCAATCTCACCCAGAAGAGACTAAGAACTGACCTCACAAATTTAAGGAACAAAGTGGGACAAAAGGAAGCCTGATGTGACTGGGGTTGGGGGTTCGCATCAGGCCAAGCTCAGGAGCGTGGCCCTCTAGCCCGAGAGGGTGCTGTTGAGAGGTTCCTCACCAGGCCTAACAGTCACCTGGTACCTGCGCCTTCTCTGCAGGGAAGGAACTTTCCAGAATCCTGGGGAAGAAACCTCCTGAGGAAGGAGTGTGGCAAAGATGCTGAGGAGAAGGCATCACACAGACTCAGGTGAGCACTCAGCGCCTGGTATTGATGAGATATTTGCAAGAGACCCAGCATCAGACAGTGCAGAGGGCCCTGTGGATGACCCAAGCTGAGAACCTGGGGAAACTGTAGAAAGGCACATGGACTCACTGGTCAGGATCTAGTGACCGTGCTGCAAAGGAGGCAGGTGGTCTGGTCAGGTGATGAAAGTCTGCTGTGAGAGGATGTGGGGACTGCCTGGCAGGAGTTCAGAGAGCCTGCTGGCTTCTGACCTCACACCTACAAGGGTCATAGGAGGCCACTCACTCAGCATCAGGTGGGGGTGCTGCAGGTGACCAGGCTATAGACCAGGGTGGGGCAGGAGGGCTGGCAGCACCCGGAGGCTGGGCAGAAGGAGGCCACACACAAAACAGGCTTGCAGCTCACAGACACACAGCAGGCCACCTGACAGGGGCTGGGCACACAGCAGGCCGGCTGGCAGCAGGTGGACACCCCACACAGGGGCCGGCACAGCAGAATCACACAGGGGGCTGAGCAGCAGCAGGAGGTCCCACAGCCCTGGGGTGGGTAGCAGGTGCTGGGGACGCAGCATGGGGAGCCAGGGCAGGCCATCGGGCAGCCTGAAGAGCAGCTGGTGTGGCACATGATGGGGTGTGGACAGGTGGGGGGCACAGAGGACAGGGCTGGTCTGGAGCCTGCTTCCTTGGGTGGCCTTTATACCCAGGCCACCGGCATCCTGGCAACAAGCCTCCTGGCATCTTCCTCGTGGGTGGTTTCTCCTCCTCTGCCCTCTCCGGTTGATCTTTCTGTGTTTTCCTGTTGAGGTTACTTAGCTTAGGAAACTCTTCCAGCTGGGGGAGCCCTATCATTCAGCAGACTGTGTGTTTCCTGGAAACAGAGCCAAGGGTAGCTGGTGAAGGGCTGTCAGTGAGGCCAGGGGCCCACCTCATGGATGTCCAGGGTCCCCCTGTTGTAAATACTGTCTGGAACTCACAAAAGCACAGTCACAATCACTGCACCAGGGGCCCCGTTTCGACTGAGAAGTTCAGTCATCATCAGGGTCTTCCCGAGTAACGAGAGCCAAGCTACTGGGCTCCATATTGTGGAATAATAATGATGATTATTGGGGGAATAATAATGCACAGAGGTCTAGCGCTGTGCCAGGCTGTGATTGGCATCTTACGGGGTTATCTCATTCATCTTTGCCAGCATTTGGGGTGGCCGATACCCCATTTTACAGATCATGCAAGTCCTAGATCATTTGCATGATGGGTGCGTGTCCGTGCCACTGCAGAGACGCAGGAATCTGGACTGCTTAGTTTCACTCTGGAATCCGTGGTCATTACCACTGTGGTTCAATACGTGACTCATCCTGAAGTCCTGAACCAGCTGGGACGGAGAAGATGGATGAAAACATCGGCCACGTCGGCCTCTGCAGAGCATGGCTCAGGCGTGTGACCGCAGTGGGCTTCCTGACACCACACCTCAGAAGTGCCCACTTCACACGAGAAGCACTAGTGGCCACAGGCCACCTCCTCTGCAGATGGAGCCCAGGAGGACCCATCACAGAGGGGGTCTGAGCTACTCCTGTCTGGTTCCTCTCCCACGCTGAGGGTCTGATCAGTCTCACCACTGCAGAGGCAGCGTGGGGGAAAGTGAGGAGCTGGGGTGAAATTCCAGGATGCTCCCGCACTTGGGAAGCAGCGGGCAGGACTGTGGATGGCACATTCCTCCTCACACTCCAGCTCTGTTCTCTTGACGGATTGGCCACAGCGCTTTATTCTACGGTGGTGTCACACGATAGGGGATGAGCCGTCTCTCAGGGCAGAGCTGCTCCCTCCATCCCAGGCAGCTCCCAGGGGCACCCTCTGCTCCTGTGTGGGTCCTCCTGTGCCTGCTGGTGGTGGATACAGGGGATTCCTGCCACAGAGCCTTTGGACAACTCAGACACCACGTTAATGAAGTCCCCTCCAAGGCTGAAGACCAAGTGGGGTCTCACAGCTGTGGACAGAACTTACAAGTCTACGGATCCAGAGCTGATCGGTGGCCATGTGGTGGGAGTGACCTTAAGGCCTAGGGACAAGCCGGGTGAGGCCACAAGTTCAGTCCTGTCACAAGCAACTCCTTTCACTGCTATAGGTCATTATCACACTTAAAAACCAAGAGAATTGGGGCAGCCACGGTGATCACATGTTCCTATGTGACCTAGTCACCAAGTAACTCATTTTAAAGGTTAGTTGTCTTACAAGTAGATTACAGAAGAACAAAGATGCATCTTTGATATTTACCTGCTTCTTTACCTTCCCCCATGCCCTCTACTCCTTCCTGCAGGTCAGGGTCCACCTGGCCTCGTCCTAGTCAACCTAAAGCACATCCGTGCACGTTGCCTGCAGCGCGCATCTGCAGGGGAGGATTTCTCCCAGCTTTTGCTCTTCTGAACAGGTTTTTACCTCAACATGTTTTGAAGGATTTTTTTCATAGGTATAGAATTCTGGGTTGGCAAATTTTTCTCTCAGAATTTTAAAGAAGTTGCTCCATTGTCTTCTGGCCTCCACTGTTTTTGCTGAGAAGTGAGGGATTTTCTCATCCTTTCAAGAACCTTGTACCTTGTACCTTGTATGAAAAGTGCCTTTTCTTCCCACTGTCTTCAATTTTTTTTGATTTTTGGTTTTCATCACTTTTACTATTTGATGCTTGGATATGGCTTTCTTTGTATTGGTCCTCCTACAGGTTTCTGAGATTCTTGGGTCTGTAAGTTGTTATTTTTTAAATTATATTTGGTGCCTTGGGCCATTATTTTTTTCAAAACTTATTTATGGTTCAGCATCACTCTCTTCTCTTTCTGAGGTTGAAATTTCTAGTTTGTTAGACAGTTCAGTACTGTCTCATACGTCTTTTCATTTTTCTTCATTCTTTCTCCTCTTCGAGACAGGATAATTTCTACTGGTGTGTCTTCAGGTTCACTGATTCTTTTTCCATCCAACTCCTAACCCCAAACCCCAGACCCCCTAGCATGGGATTTTGATGCTTGGTTCTTGAGTCCTCATGATCTAACCAGTTTTCCTGCACCCATGGCCCAATACCCAGAGTGCAGGATTCCTGCCTTCCCTGGACATACCGGTTTCTGCAGCAGCATCCTCCCTCTCTCCATGGCCACACTGTCTCCTCACAGAGGCCCCCCCAGACCACCCACTGGCACCCCCATTACTATCTCCTGAACCCATTTTTCCCCGGCACTCAGCCCTGTATGGAATTATTTCATGCATTCATTTCTTCCTTTACTCATTTATTCACTGCCCACCGCTAGAAGGCTCTTGAAGCCAAGACCTCTTTGCTGCTACTACACAATATATATTTGTTGAATGAGCAAATAACTTCTTGTATAGATTACTCTATGGCAGGGTTGGCTAACTTTCTGTAAAGGGCAGATGGCAAATATTTTAGGCTTTGCATGTTACTGTCTCTTCCATAACTACTCAGTTGTACCAATGCAGTGCAAAAGAAGCCACAGACAACACATAAACTAATGGCATGCTGTGATCCAATAAAAGTTCATTTGAAAAACAGGCAGTGGGCCAAATTTGGCTCCCAGACCATAGTGTGCCAACCTATGCTTTAAAGTTTTACTCTACAAAATAAAAGCTCAAAACACATTACTATCTCAACATCTTCCTTGATAGCATGAAACAAAAGTGAAAAAACAGGATTTGGTACTTTGAGTCGAGCCAGTGGTGCTATGTGCACAGCAGTAGCCTGAAAAAAATCAACAAAAAACCTGCATAATGTCAAACCAGAACATCCTGTTTACAGAAGAAACTAACCTCAAGGCCAAAGATATTTATGGTAGAGCATAACGCGGGAAAGTGCACGCGGGAAAATAAGATGTTGGGAAACAACCACGAGGAAGACAACAGTCATGTTTTTGTGTTACCCAGATGCCCGGGACCCAGGTATAAAGACCACCAGAGAAGCGGCTTCCAGACATCACCACCCTCCTCCCCAGTACCAGCCCAGCCACACGCCATCATGTGCCAAACCAGCTGCTCCCCAGGCTGCCAGCTAACCTGCTGCATACCCAGCCCCTGCCAGGCATCCTGCTACGTGCCGGTGAGCTGCCAGTCCTCCGTGTGCGTGCCCGTGAGCTGCACGCGCATTGTGTGTGTGGCCCCCTCCTGCCAGCCCTCTGTGTGTGTGCCTGTGAGCTGCAGGCCTATCATATACGTGACTCCCTCCTGCCAATCTTCTGGGTGCTGCCAGCCCCCCTGCACCACTGTCTTCTGCAGACCCATCTCCTGCAGCGCCCCTTCCTGCTGCTGACCAGCTGCTCCTGGTACACAGGGGTACACACCTGTATCCCTCCATGAACTAGCATCTGGTGGACCCCCAGACTGCACACATGGGGCAGATGAAAAGCATGCTCAAGGAAACCTCTGAACTTTGGGGTGAGAACATGGAAAAATGATTCAGACCTTCTGTGACCCCGGGAACCCCCTCAAGGAAGTCCTGGCTGCCAGAGTCCTTCTCTCACTCCAGCAGGAAACTAAAACCCATGTGAGCCAAATAAATCAGCTGTCCCTATACACCTCGTCTCTCTCTTTTATCCTCATGTATTTTGTAAGTTCTTTCCTTGAAGGTACATACCAACTTTAACGGCAGCAGCACCTCTTCAGAGAGCCTCCTTCCTGATGGCTGAGCTGAAGTGGAGGGTTCTTGGTTGGGGGAGTGGCCCGAAGGTGCTGTCCCCACACTCAGTCCTCAAGCTTCACACTGGGATAGTAAGATGTTGGGAAACACGGTGGAAACCACCATGAGGAAGACAACTGTTGTGTTTTTATGTTACCCAGATGCCTGGGACCCGGGTATAAAGACCACCAGAGAAAAGCTTCCAGATGGAAAGTGTTAGGGGGAGGGTAGAAGAAAACAATCCTCTACCCAGAAGGATGGATGGGAAATAGTCCTGGGCCCCAGATCCCATGCAATACCTCAAAGGATTACTATGGCAAAGAGGGCAGGAAACTGTTTCAAACAACAACCACCACAAATACAGCGCAGAGCTCGTCTGTCCCGGGGAGGGGCAGCAGGAAGTCCAAGAAAGTCTCATTCTCCAAGTCCCACATGCAAAGGGCCTGCCTAAGACTGACACTGGACCAGGACAGAGAGCCCTCCTGTCTCCAGCTCCAGCCTAGCAGGCACAGCTCAAAAATCAACATCAGCCTGCCTCTGGGGAAAGGCAGAAGTGTGTAGAGATCTCCTCTGAATGTCAGGCATGCAGGGGCGTGTGAAAACTGAGGGTGGAGCAAATGCACTGATCTCCCCACCCCTCATCTTAAGCGCAAGCACTGATATACCCTAAACACAAGCCACTGGTGCACTGAAGGCAACCACGGTAACAACAAAACCCAAACCACCGTCAATGTCTGACCAGATTGATTCATCCACCTCCCCCTACACACGAATGACCTGACAGAAAAAGAGACACATGCATTTCCAGAAGGAAATGTTGATGTCTGATATTCAATAAAAAATTATAAGACATGCAAAAAAGCAAGGAAAAACCAAGCCATTGTCAGCAAAGAAATCAACAAAACTGGATTCAAAAGTGACCCAGGGACTGGGCACAGTTCACACCTATAACCCCAGCACATTGGGAGGCTGAGGCTGGAGAGTTGTTTAAGCCTCGTAGTTCAAGGCTGCAGTGAGCTGAGATTGCACCAGCCTGGGTAAAAGAGCAAGACACTATCTCTAAAAATAAAAAGTAAAATGACACAGGTTTACAGCTATCAGGCTGTAACTTTAACTGTAATGAATAGATTAAAGGGTCAAGGATAAAGCATTAAAACCATATATGAAGAGATGGGTAATTTCATGAGACAGACGGAAACTATAAGAAAGGGTCAAGTGGATATGGTAAAAATCAAAATACAATATCAAAGATGGCTTCCTTCAGTGGGCTCATCAGTATACTTGATAAAACCAGGTGTGGAAGCTTAGAATTTGAAGACATGTAAATATAAATTGACCAAATTAAAACACAAAGAGAAAGAGGAGGGTGGAGGAAGACAAGAGAAAAACATCAAAAAGCTCTGGGACAATATCAAATCCTCATTTATGGATGTAATTGGAGTCTCTGAAAGAGAAGAAAGAGAGGGCAGGGCAGAAGAAATATTCAAAGAAGTAATAGCTGAGAAATATTCTAAAAATAATGAAATACATAAAGCCCCATATCGAAAAAGTTCAGAGAACCCCAAATTGGGTAACTATATCCCCACTACAAATGACTAGACATGTCACATTAAATCTGTGACTGACAAAAACCAAAGGTAAAAAGGGAAATCTTGAAAGCATCCATATTTTAAAAGCAGACTACGAGCATAAGGACAAAGGTAAGGTTTACATCAGACTTCTAATCAGAAATCACACGACCCAAAGTACATCTTTAAAATACTGAAAGAAAATCTGTCGACCCCATGACACTAAAAGATGAACAAAAACTGAAAGACTTCATTAACAGCACACATGCACTATAAGAAATTCTTAAAAAATTTCTTCGAGCCAAGGAATATGACAGCAGATAGAAACTTGGATTCATACAAAGAAAAGAAGAGCTCTTGGCTGGGTGCAGTGGTTCACATCTGTAATCCCAGCACTTTGGGAGGCCGAGGTGGGTGGATCACCTGAGGTCAAGAGTTTGAGGCCAGCCTGGCCAACATGGTGAAACCCCATCTCTACTAAAAATACAAAAATTAGCCAGGCGTGGTGGCGTGCTCTTGTAATCCCAGCTACTCAGGAGGCTGAGGTAGGAGAATTGCTTGAACCCAGGAGGCGGAGGTTGCAGTGAGCCAAGATTGCACCACTGCACTCCAGCCTGGGCGACAGAGCAAGACTCTGTCTTAGCGGGGAAAAAAAGAGAGAGAAAGAAAAGAAGAGCTCTAGAAATTATTTTAAAAGAAGATAAATATAAAAAGCATTATAACTAATTGACTGTCCAGAGCAAAAATAGTGACAATGCATTGTGGGATTTTTAACATAAGTAAAAGTAAAACATGGCAACAATCACACAAGGAATATAAAAGAGGACATGGAGGTACACTGCCGTAAAGTCCTGCCACTTACAGATGAAGTGGCATCATATTACCCGGAGGCATACTTTGTTACAGTAAAGGTTTATATTGTAAATCTTAGGCCAAATAAGTTTGAAAAGACGTATTAGGCTATTATCGCCTTGCTATAAGGAAATACCTGAGACTGAGTAATTTATAAAGGAAGGAGGTTTAATTGGCTCACAGTTCTGCAAGCTGCACAGGAAGCATAATCCTGGCATCTGCTCAGCTTCTGGGGAGGCAGAATTGTGAGCAAACTTACAGGCACGGTGGAAGGTGAAGGGGGAGCAGGCACATCAGTGGCCAGAGCAGGAGCAAGAGAGAAAGACAGGGGAGGGGCCACACACCTTTAAACAACAAGGTCTCCCAGGAACTCACTCACTGTCTCAAGGACAGCACCAAGGGGATGCTGCTAAACCATTCATGAGAAATCCACCCCCATGATCCAATCACCTCCCACCAGATCCCACCTCCAACGATGGAAATTACAATTCAACATGAGATTTGGGCGGGGACACAAATCCAAACTCTATCAAGATGTACACAAAAAGTAGATATAAAAGGGAAAAACTAAGAATGCTAATCCAAAAAGTGGCATAGAAAGAGGGTGAAGATAAAAAGGAACAGATGGAACAAATAGAATACAAATAGCAAAGTGATATTTTACATTAAGTAGATCAAAAATTAAATTAAATTAAATGCAAATCATCTAAACACCAAAACTAAAAAACAGAGATTTTTAATTAGATTAAATAATTCAGGATCCAACTATATTCTATCTATCAGAAACCTCACATTAAATATAAAAACATAGATAGGTTAAAAGTAAGCAGATGGGAAAATATACCACACAAACATTAATCAAATAAAATTGGAATGGTTATATTAATATCAAACAAAGTCAGCTTCACAAAAGAAATATTACCAGGGATAAAAAGGAATATTATATAATGATAAAGCATCAATTCACCATGGAAACATAACAACTCTAAATGTGTAAGCACCAAACAGCCAACTTTCAAAACACACGCAACAAAAAAACTGAGAAGGTAAAGGAGAAACAAATAAATCAGATTGGTCACTAGACTTCAGCTTCAAGAGAACAAGTAGACAGAAAATCAGGAAGGATACAGAAGGCCTGGACAACACCATCAATCAACTTGACCTAATGGATATTTATAGAACACTCCACCCAACAATAACAGATACACATTCTTTTCAAACACATGAAACGTTCACCAAAAAGGCTATATTCTGGCCGTAAAATAAACTTCAACCCATATAAAAAAAGTTGAACTAACACAATGTATGTTCTCTGACCACAAAGAAATTAAATTAGACATTAACAACAAAATGATAACTAGAAACACCCTGCAGAACTGTAAACTAGACAACACACTTCTAGATAACCCGTGGTTCAAAGAAGAATCACAAGAGAAATTAGAAAATATTTTGAATTAAATACAAATTAAAAGAAAACATGTCAAAATATATGGAACATGGCTAAAATGGTGTTTAGAGGGATAAAATTATATCAGTAAGTGCTTATATTCACAAAGAAGAAAGTCCTGAAATCAGTTATCTAAGTCTGCACTTTAAAGAAAAGAAAGCAAATTAAACTCAAAATTAGCAAAATAAATAATTAAAAATCTGCAAAAAAATAATGAAGTAGAAAACGGAAAAAATTTCAAAGAAGCCAAAAGCTGCTTCTTTGAAAAGAACAATGAAATGAATAAGCATCTAGCCAGACCGATCAGGAAAATTATAATAAAAAGAAAGAAGAGACACAAAATAGCAATATTAGGAGTGAAAAACAGACATCATTACAAATCTTACAGTTATTAAAAGCATGATAGAGGAACGACGTAAACAACTTCGTACCACTAAATTTAATAATGTACATAAAATTGGCACTTTTTTTTTAAAGTATGAAAGCTTATTCCAGAGAAGTAGGTAGCCTGAATAGTATCATATCTATTAAAGAAGTTGAATTTTCAGTTAAAACCTTTCAACGAACAAAACTAGAGGCAAATGACTTCCCTGGAAAATTCTACCAAACATTTAAAGAAGAAATATAACCAATTCTACATGATCTCTTACAGAAAATAGAAGGAAAGGAATCATTCCCAATTAAATTTACAGGGCCAGCATAATCTTGATATCAAATTTGAACAGAAGTATTACAAGAAAACTATATACTACTAATAATATCTCTTATGGATATAGATGCCAAAATTATCAACGAAATACTAGCAAATTCAAACCAGAAATACGTAAAAGAGATAAAAGGTCGTGATCATGTGGGATTTATCCCAAGAATGCAAGGTTGGTTCAGTGTTAAAAAATCAACTTATATAATTCACCATATCAACAGACTAAAGAGGAAGCACCATATTATTATCTCAATAGATTCAGAAATGGCTTTGGATAAAATTCAACATCCATTCAGAACAAAAACTGTTAGCAAACTAGAAATTAAAAGCAACTTCTTTTAAAGAACATCTGTGAAAACCTATAGCTAATATCATACTTAATGATGAAAGACTGTATGCTTTCCCTTAAAATCAAGAATAAAGCAAGAACATTCGCTTTTGCCTCTGCTGTTTATTACCATACTGGACTTCCCAAACAGTGAAGTAAAAAGCATGCAGGCTGGAAAGGAAGAAATAACACAGTCTCTATTAACATATTATATTATCGTCTACCTAGAAAATCCCCCAAATTCTACAATAAAGCTACAAGAATTAGTAAGTGAATTTAACAAGGTCAAAGAAAAAATGCCAATATACAAAAATCAATTTATTTTAATATACTAGCAATCAACAATCAGAAATTGAAACTTAAAAATAGGACCATAATAGCATTAAACATTATAAAATACTTAGGGGTAAATTATGAGGAAATAAAATATATACAGTGAAAACTACAAAATATTGATGAGAAAAATCAGAGAAAACCTAAATAAATGGACCATGTTATGGATGGCTAGATATGTCAACTCTCCCCCAAACTGATCTATAGTTTCAATACACTCCCAATCAAAATCTCAACACAAATTCTGCAGATATTGATAAGCTTATTCAAATATCTGTATGGAAAGACAAAGAAACTAGAGTAGCCTAAACAACTTCTTAAAAGAAGAACAAAATTGGAGAACTCACACTAGCTGATTTCAAGACCTGCTATAAAGCTGCATTTATCAGGACAGGACGGTGTTGGCAACAAGACACTTAGCATATGACCCAGCTATTCCACTCCTAGACGTTCACCCAAGAGAGAGAAACAAGTATGTCCACGCAAAAACCTGGACTCACTAACACATGCCCCATGTGGAGCACTAGCAACACAGAACGTGGGCTCCAAGTGGCCCTGAGGGCCCCACAGCTCTGGAGGGCGGGGGCTGAGCCAGGCCTCATCCATGCTTCCCTCCAGAAGCATTTTTTGGTTACCAGCCCTCCCTCCTCTCATGCTCTGATTTCCAGTTTCACCTCCAACTCCCAGCCTGGGGGACCAGAGTGCTTACGTGTGTGCATAAGTGTGTGCATGTTGTATAGTGCACACATTGCATGTGTTCATGGGTTTGAATATGTTCAGCTGCAAGCATTTATATGTCTGGATTGATTGGTTCCATTTCTTGCTCAGTTTTATCCAAAATCCCCCAATTTAAACAACACAATAGGTCCCTGATCACCTTGCCTAAAAGATGATGAAACAAGTTTTTCAACTCTAAACTCAACATCTGCCTCCAAGGCAAATAGAAAGCTTGGAATCTAAGACAGCCAGTAGTGAGAATGCCCTTCGGGGACAGTTCTGGGCTATACTATCTGGAATAGCAGACTCCTGGGGCAAGAGGGCTGGCCCATCTACTGGGGAACGTTTAACCTGAGACAGCCACAGCAGAGCCCCCCAAAAGGAGAATGCAGCCCAGACAGGGGAAATACGGAAGAACGCCACCAGCACAACACAGACTGGGAAAAGCAAGTTCCAGATGACATTCAGAATAATTCCTTTTTCATATCATCAGAAATTACTAAATTAGAAAACACACATTTCAGGAATACACAGAGATATGACTCAACTCTATTGTTTCTAGAAAGTAACAGAATAAGGAGCACACAATCCCAATAGTGGCTGCCCCAAGAAGTTCATTGTAAATTATTGATGATGTTCTCATTTCTATGTCAGGCAGTGGGTTCATGGGGGTTTATTGTATTAGGATTCTCAGTAATTGGTCATCAGTCAATCAATAAGAACTGAGCCTCTGTGGACCAGTGATGGGAGTGTGTGCTGCAGAACTAATCCAGTTCTGTAAACCCGAGATCCTCCGCAACCTGGGAACAGGACGTCCACCAACCACATGGGAAAACCCGGTCCTCGGTGCTCTGAGGCTTTGGCCATCAGTGCAGGGCTTGCTAGCCTGGAGCAGGAGTGGACAGCCAGTGGGGAAGACCACTCACTCCACCACAGGAGGGTAAGTCACTGCTGTGGCCACTGCACCTGGGCCCCGGGAGTCTTGGGAGAGACCACATGGGCATCTTTAGCTGCGCCCTCCACCCAGGACACCACCTTCTGATGAGGACTGTGTGAAGGGATCACTGAAGAGGGTTTAGCAGCAAATTCTATGTAATCAGCAGAATAGACAGCGGGGAGTATGGAAATAAAAAAGAAAGACTAGAAACGCAGAGCTGCATAGGGAAAGCTGGTTTATTTGGCTCTCATGGAGTCAGAGAATGACTCTAGGACCCCGGACTTCCCTGGGGGAACGGGCAAGGTCAGCAAGGGCTCCAGATCATTCTGTCATATTCTCGATCCAGAATTCAGGGGGTTCACTGAGCATGCTTTTCACCTGCCCCGTGTGCAGAAGACCAACTGAGGACTCATCCGGGGAGTGTGCAGGAGTGGCCTCATCTGCACTGGGAGCAGCGGGTCTGGAGATTCATGGTCAGCAGCAGGAAGGGATGCCGCAGGAGATGGGTCTGCAGAGGACGCTGGCGCAGGAGGGCTGACAGCACCCGGAGGACTGGCAGCACCCGGAGGACTGGCAGGAGAGAGCCGCATAAACAACGGGCCTGCAGCTCACAGGCACGCACAGGGAGGACTGGCAGGAGGGGGCCACACACACGATGGGCCTGCAGCTCACAGGCACACACACGGAAGACTGGCAGCTCACAGGCACGCACACAGCTGGCTTGAAGCTCACGGGCATACACACGGAGGACTGGCAGCCCACAGGCACGCAGCAGGATGCCTGGCAGGGGCTGGACACACAGCAGGTTGGCTGGCAGCCTGAGGAGCAGCTGGTATGGCACATGGTGGTGTGTGGCCGGATAAGGTCGAGGCAGAAGACAGTGATGTCTGGGGATGGCCTCCCTAGCAGCCTTTATAGCTGGACCCAGGCATCCCCACAACACAGAAGCACGCCTGCCTTCCTTGTTTTTCTTCCTCAGTGCTGTCTCCTGGAGCTTAATTTTCTGTTGTAGGTGTCTCTGGGTTTTGTTTGGCCCTTAGTTTCATGACTAATTGTACCTTCTTCGAACTCTTGGTATGCTTGGAAACCTGCCAGAGTGTTTTACTGTCTGCATCTGGATTCTTCTTTGTTCTTTAAAATTTTTACCTGAGTTACTTTTGTGAGATTCCAAAAACTCAGATCTCCAGATTTTCCTCTCTGTGTGATGATGGTCCTTAAAAGACAGAAGTTTACACTCCTCCCATGGCTCAGGAAGGCTCCATAGTCAATGTGAGATAGAATAGAGTGTTTCCAGCTGTTCTGTGGATGTCCTGAGAGCTTAGAGCTGGATGAGAGAGTTTGCAGATGGAGAAAGAACACGGAAATCACTTGTCCATAGGATGAGTGGGGACAAAGGGTGTGGGTCACAGAGAACTTCTTGTGAGTGGTGACCATGGATCTTTGTCTTGAGAAATCCTCCTAGTTAAGAACCAATATGAAACAACACCACTGGCCCTCATGCATGGAGACATAGCTCTAAGGAAATCAAGTTGGTCCAAGTGTGTTCCCAGGGAAGCATGTCAGGCCAGTGAAGTGCCCCGTGGACAGCCACAGCACGATATGTGTGAGCTGAATATAGAAGGTTCCAAGGGCCAGAATGACTTCTGGGCATGTTCAGCAGAAAGCCATGTGCACCCCGTACTGCAGGGACAGTAGAATCTCTGAGCCTACAGATGTCAACACCAGATCACTTGGAACTTGGCACCATAATAACAGAACGAAGGAAAAAGCCACGTGATCATCTCAATTGATATAGAAAAGGCATTTCACAAAATTCAAGATGCTTTCATGATGACAACAATCAACAAACTAAGAATAGAAGAAAACTACCTTAACACAATACAAGCCATACATGAAAGACCCACAGCAAGCCTCATACCCAATGGTGAAAGACTGAAAGCTTCTTCTCTAATATTGGGAACAAAGCCAGCATAGTACTGGAAATTTTACTAAGAACAACTAGGCAAATTTTTGTAAAAGAAAGAAACAAACAAACAAAAAGCATCCAAATTGGAAAGCAAGAAGTAAAGTTAACTCTGTGATATGATTTTTATATGTAGAAAACTCTAAATATTCCACAAAAAAAACTATAAGAAGTAATAAATGAATTCAGCAAAGTAGCAGGATACAAAAGCAAAACACAAAAATCAGTTCTATTTCCATAAACTAACAAGCATAATCTCAAAAGGAAAGTACAATAACAATTCCATTTACAATACATTAAAAAGAATAAAATAGGAGTTAACCAAAGAAGTAAAATAATTGTGTAACAAAAACTACAAAACATTGTTGAAAGAAACTGAAGGCAACATAAATAAATGGAAACACATTCCATGTTCATGAATTGGAAATTGTTAATATGTCCATACTAACCAAAGCAATCTACAGATTCAATGCAATCCCTGTCAAAATCCCAAGGATGTTTATTGCAGAAATAGAAAAACCCATCCTAAAATTTATGTGGCATCTCAAGGGACCCTAAATAGCCAAATCAATCATAAAAAAAGAACAGAGCTGGAGGAGTCACACTTTCTGATTTCAAAACTTACTACAACACTACAATAATCGAAGCTGTGGTACTGGCATAAAGACCAATATATAGACTAATGGAATAGCATAGAGAGCCCAGAAATAAACTCACAACTACAGTCAAATAATTTTTGACAAGGCTGTCAAGACCTTTCAATGAGGGAAGGACAGACTTTTAACAAATGGCAATGGGAAAACAGGATATCCACACACAAAAGATTATTTTTAACCCTTACCTCACATCATATACAAAATTAACTCAAACAGGATCAAAGATAGAGAATCTCAGTAGAGAAATCAAAACTATTTTTTAAATGGGAATGCTAGAACTAAAAAGTACAATAGCTGATATTTTAAAATCCACATGATAGACATAAAAGTAGAATAAGATTGAAGAATAGTCCATGATCTTGAAGGCACATCAATAGAAATTATCCAAAATGAAGGAGACGAAGAAAAAGAATTAAGAAAAATGAAAAGAGCTTCTGAGACATCATTAAACAGCATTGCATATATGTAATATCAAACTATAATCCCAGCACTTTGGGAGGCCAAGGTGGGTGGATCACAAGGTCAAGAGATTGAGACCTTGGCTAACATGGTGAAACTCTGTCTCTACTAAAAATACAAAAATTAGCTGGGTATGGTGGCACGCACCTGTAGTCCCAGTTACTTGGGAGACTGAGGCAGGAGAATCACTTGAACCTGGGAGGCAGAGTTTGCAGTAAGGAGAGATTGCACCACTACACTCCAGCCTGCGACACAGCAGGACTCCATCTCAAAATAAATAAATAAATAAAAATAAATTTTAAAAAAAATAAAGCACTGGGCATTCTCTCCTAAAACACAAAGCTACAAACACAGAGCCTCCTCTGCCCCTCAGCAACAAGGGGACAAGGGTGAGGGTTTGGAGGGCTGTACTTTCAGTTAAAGAGAGGCTAGCTGTTTGCCTGCAATATAGACTAAGGAGCCTGGAGCCTGGAGCCTGGACTGAGGCTGCCAGGTTGAAAACCTGAGACCATGACATCGGGTTCTGGCACACTCCACTGCTACTGGAAACAGCCGTCCCAGTATTCCCACCATCCTCCTCCTCGGCTTACGGATCACCTGAAGGAGGTGGCGCACCTTGTTGGGATGAAAATCCGGGTGCACTTTGCCCTAGCAGTCCCACCCCGAGAAGTCCTACCCCCAGAACACTAACAAACAGATTGTGGGATGGGTTTGCAAATGTTTTTATCAGCGCCATCTGTAATAGCAGACTCTTGGGAACAACAGGCCTGCCCATCTACTGGACAGCATTTAACCTGAAGTAGAAACAGCAGAATCCCAGGAAGGAGCCACGCTGGATACAGAATACACCCATGAGAAATGCAGAGGACCCTTGGCAACTCTACACAGAGTGGGAGACATAAGTCTCAGAAAATTACTCAGAATAATTCCCTTTTAATATCACTCAGAACCACTAAGTTAGAAAACACACATTTCAGGAATACACAGAGATATGACTCAACTCCATTTTTTCTAGAAAGTAACAGAATAAGGGGCACACAATCCCAACAGTGGCTGCCCCAAGAAGTCCATGGTAAATTATTGATGATGTTCTAGTTTCTGTCAGGTAGTGGGTTCATGGTTCATAGGTTGGGGGGGGGTTGTTATATTATAATCATTAATAATTGACCAATAAAAAGTAGGCAGGCTCAAGATGGCTGAGTAGAGGCACCTGACACTTGCCTCTTCCACAAAGAAGAACCCAAAAGAGTGAGTAGGTAACAACATTTTGAATGGGACATCTAAGAGAGACACTGGAATTCAGCAGAGAAGTGACAGGAAATATGTGAGGCACAGAAGGAGAGGGAAGGGAGGCAGCTGGCCCAGTTGGAATCAGTCAGGAGCTCACAGAGACTCCCCAGTGCAGGGAAATGGTAAATGAGAGATTCCCAGCTGTCTACATTTCCACCATGGACTCAGCATGGACCTGAAACCCTAGCCATGGGAGAGCCTCTTGTCCTTCACAGGCCCTGAGACTTGCATAGGGATTTGCCAGGATGCTACATAATGGCATTGCTCCAGAGAAAGAGCCCACGCTGGGTCCCACACACCCACCAAGTCCTGAGCAGCCAGCTGTAGCATGGTGCCATTTTGAGAGCCCAGCCCCTAAAAGTCTGCATCCTGCCCTGGGTCCCAACAGATCCTGTATCTCCACATCCCTTCAGCCCTACTGAATCCCACAACCCCCACAAAAGGGCTGCAGGAGTGCAATACCAGCTGGACACATCAATAAGGCAGGGATTACCATGCACTTGCATGTACCCTGAGTACAGGCTTTCCACACCCACCATCATAAATTACCCCACACTATTCACCATAGCCTGTGTCCATGCATACTGTGTGGCCTGGCACTGCACCCCCAGTGCCCAAGCATACCATCTGGGGACCTGGTGATCCCCCCACCCAGTCTACCAATGCCGGCCATCTTTGCACTCCTCCCAGGGACCTGGGGATGGGCCCCCCCAGCCTGCCACTACCACCAGTGCCCACTTGCATATGCCACCTGGGAGCTTAGGGACTGGCTTGCCCAGCCTGTCACAACCACCACTAACATTAGTAAGTGCTTTCTGAGAGCCCAAAGACTGTCCCACCATTGCTACTACCATCATCCATGTCAGACACACTGCCCAGTGGCCCAAGGACCCATCCATGCATCCATCCCACTGCTGCCACTGCTAGCACACAAGCAAGCTATCTGGAGGCCCAAGAATCAGCCTGCCTGGACATGGTAACACCAGTGCCAGCATATGCTACTCAGGGGTGTAAGGACAGGCACATTTGGCCCACTGCTGCCACCACTGGGGCCTGAGATCTGGCTAACCTGGTGTTTCTGACCCCAGAAAAGCCTCACCACAGCCTCCACTGATTTTGCCAGTAGTCAACCCAGAGCTGCCTGTAGTCAACCCAGAGCTGCCTGAAATAGAGTATCTGTGGCATGGTCGCAATGGGCGGAGGACAAACTTCCCACAGAGACAACTCTGGGCAGCGGTGGTCACACCTGATAACTGACAGGCCCACAGCATCTCTGTCGAGCAGACGGTGCTGCTGGTGGACGCGGGAGCTGCCATAGCGGCATGAGTAAGTGGAGGCATGTGTGCATATGTCAAGGATGCCTATTTTAATCACTCCTATTGACATGGCTTGGATCTGTGTTCCCACCCAAATCTCATATTTAATTGTAATCCCCAGTGCTGGAGGTAGGGCTGGGTGGAAGGTGATTTGATCATGAGGGCCATTTCTCATTAATGGTTTAGCACTGTCCCTGTTGGAGGTGTTGTCATAATAGTGAGTTCTTGTGAGATCTGGTTGTTTAAAAGTGTGTGACACCCTGTACCACCCCACACCGCTCCAGACATGTGAAGCATTGGTGCCCCTCTTGCCTTCTGCCATGATTGGAAGCTTCCTGAGGCTGTCCCAGAAGCAGAAGCCTCTATGGTTCCTGTATAGCCTGCAGAACTATGAGCCAGTTAAACCTCTTTTCTTTATAAATTACCCAGTCTCAGGTATAGCTTTATAGCAATGTAAGAATGGACTAATACACCTGTTCAACATAGTACCGGAAGCCCAAGCCAGTGCAGTCAGGTAAGAGATAGAAATAAAAGCCATCCCAATTGGAAGAGAGGAAGTCAAAGGGTCCCTCTTTGCACATGACATGATTTTATATTTAGGAAAACCTAAAGACTCCACCAAAAATCTCTTAGAACTGATAAACAAATGTAGTAAAGTTGCAGGATACAAAATCAACATATAAAAATCAATAGTGTTTTGATACACCAATAACAAACTAGTTGACAAAGTAAGCAAAAAGGCAATCCATGAAGGCTAAAACAACTCTATCTTGGATGCTAATCTGCCATATGGACTTCTAGTTAACCTGTTCTGGGAAGGCCTCTAAGATTTCCAGTTTAATCTACTGTTCGTTGTATAAGAGCACACACTATAAATCTTGCTTCAAAACAACCTTGATGTTATTGTACTTCAATTGATCTACAGAGCCCTTCTAAATCACGTATGCCCTTTCCTTGTGGTATATAAGCCTTGGGTGTGGATGGGGTAATGGCACAGGGATCCGCCAACTTATCTTACCACCACCCAAGTCACAGACATGGCTTCTGTTTTAAGTCCTTATTAAATGTTTCTTTCTGAGAAACCGGATCTGTCAGCCTCTTTCTGTGGCCTCTCAGCTTCCTTGAACTTTGGGGGTAGGTTTACACAGACCTGCCCACCATGGAACACAATCTCATTCACAATAGCTATTTTAAAAATAAAATACCTGGCAATAAATATAACCAAGGATGTGAAAGACCTCCGCAAGGAAAACTACAAAACACTGATAAAATAAGTTGAAGAAGACACAAACAAATGGAAAGACATTCCATGTTCATGGATCAGAAGAAATGACATTGTCAGAATGATCATACTACCCAAAGCAATCAACAGACTCAATGCAATCTCTATCAAAATGCCAATGACATGTTTCACAGAAGTAGAAAAAACAGTCCTAAAACTCATATGGAACCAAAAAAAAAAACCTGTAGGCATCACACCACTTGACTTCAAAATATATTACAAGGCTAAACACCATAGTATTGGTATAAAACCAGACACATAGATCAATGGAACAGAATAGAGAACCCAGAAATAAATCCATATATTTACAGCCAATTGATTTTCAACAAAGGTACCAAGAATGTACAATACAGAAAAAAAAAACCTCAATAAATGGTGCTGGGAAAACTGGATAGCCACATGCAGAAGAATGACACTGGATCCCTACCTCTCATCATATACAGAAATCAACTCAAGATGGATCAAAGCCTTAAACATAAGACTGAAAACCATAAAGCTACCAGAAGAAAACATAAATGAAATGCTCCAGGACATCGGTCTAGGCGAACAGTTTATAGCTCAGACTACAAAAACACAGGCGACAAAAACCAAAATAGACAAATGAGATTATATTAAACTGAAAAGCTCTGCACAGCAAAGGGAACAATCAACAGAGTGAAGAGACAACCTGTTTAATGGGAGAAAATATTTGTAAACTATGCATCTGAAAAGTGACCAATATCCAGAATAGGTAAGGAACTCAAACAACTCAACAACAACAACAACAACAAAACAAATGGGACAGGTTTTCCCATGTGGTTTGTGACTCCTGTTCCCAGGGTTGCGGTGACTGGGTTTACAAACTGGATTAGTCTGCAGCACACACTCCCATCACGGTCCACATATGCACTTTTTAAAAATTGATACATAATATCTTATTATTTTTTATGGGGTATATGTGATACTTACACACAGAGGATATGTAATGATGAAATCAGGATATATCGTCACCTTTGTCTATCACTTCTCCATGTGAGATCATTTACACTCTCTCTTCCAGCTGATTGTGAGACACCTACAAGACATGTGTAATGTAGTCACCTCTAAATGCTATATCAAGATATTAGCAACTTATTCTTTCTGTGTAACGCATTGTTTGTACCCATTAACCAAACTCACTTCCCCTCTAAACACCACACCCTTCTTCACCTCTGTAAATATCATTCTACTCTCTACTTCCACGATCAACTTTGTAAAGCTCCACAATGGAGTGAAACATGTAATAATTCGTTCTCAGTGACTTCGGTCCATCCATGGTTGCTGCAAATGCGCAGGACTCCATTCTTTTTATGGCCGATAAGATTCCATTGTGAATAGATATACCACAGTATCTTATTCATATTATTATTGAATAGACACTTAGGTTGAATCCTGTATCTTGCTATTGGAATAAGTGGACTGCAATAAAATGGAGGTGCAGGTACTTTTTGATATCCAATTCCTATCCTTTGAATATAAATAGTAGCAGATTGCGGTAGTAGGTAGTTTTACTTTAGTTTCTTGAGAAAATACTCTACAGTGTTTTCTGATAATGGCTGTACTCAAATTTAACACCTCCACCAAACTGATGTATGAATTCCCTTTTCTTCCACATCCTTTCGAGCATCTGTTATTTTTTGGTCTTTTTGATAATAGAGTCCATTCTAAAATTCATGAGCCATTCTATAATAAGAATGATGCCTACCCCATTCTAAGTTTGTTTTTTTAAAATTATTAATTATCCATCTTTAAGTTCGTAGGGTACATGTGCATAACGTACAGGGTTTGTTACATATTATAGACTCGTGCCATGTGGTT